GATGATTGATAGAAAAGCAAGTTGATTTTTGCCTTACAAACATTTCATATGTTAGAAGTTATATTTGTAATGCTCTGTAAATCGAGGTATGTGAACGTTTTGGAAAAGTTGTAATGCGTGAGCTTTGAAATTCTCATTGCACACAATTCGGATGATTCTCTTCTGGAGTACATGCAAGTGAGGCATATTTGTAGCCGATGTGCTACCCCAAACAAGGAAGCAGTAATTTTATCGAGAGCAAAAGAAGTTACAAAGAAGGACTAAGATGTGACTGGTTCCCCGGAGAAGGGGAACCAGTCACCTAGCTGTGTTTGGAGATTTATGTTTGTCCTTTGTCGCTCTTGTTCCCCTTCTCCAGGGATTATTTTCGTCATTCTTGTCCCGCTTGCTTGCACCTTTGCATTTAATTGCATTATAATTATAACCTTAAATTTGCAAGCTTCACCCTTGTTGGTGGCAGACTGGTGTCGGCTGATAAAACCGGCTTGCTCTACTGACGTCTAGCCCCTGGTTAGCTCAGTTGGTAGAGCGCTCCACCTGTAATGGAAAGGTCTCGGGTTCGATACCCGGACCGGGCGGATTTTTTCAGTCGCTCACCAGTCACCTAGCTGTGTTTGAAGATTTATTTCTGTCCTTTGTCCCTCCTGTTCCCCTTCTCCAGGGATTATTTTCGTCATTCTTTTCCAGCTCGCTTGCACCTATGCATTTCATTGCATTATAATTATAACTTTGGAAAGTTTGCCTGCTATACAATGCACTTTGGCGTCACAGCTCATGCATTCATTAAATATCACATCGGTAACCTTCATAATTTGTACAAAGTCTATATTTATTCTTTGTTGCGAGAGTCCTTAGGTATATAAAACACTATATTTGGATCGAAAAAGTATTGCTTTTGTAGTATCTGCATTCTAATTGGTTTAAGATGACACAGTCACTTACCTTATGCAGAACGCTCTTTGCCGCACAAAATCCCGGTGGACAACTTCACCCGAAAAGAATAAACTGGTGTCGTCTGCGTAACTTATCAACTCTGCACTGCCGTCTATATTTAGTATATAACTGCTGTGTACATTATACCGAAGGACTCTAAGGATGCTCCGTTAAGGCACCACTGACGTCAGTTTCCTCGAGCTGGATCGCTGACCATCTGTCACGACACCCTGATGTGGATACTTTAAAAAAGCTCTCGATCATCATTGAGGCTACTCCTCGCACCTCGCCTGCATTTAATTCTAGAAGCAGAGTTTTAGGGTTTTGTGCAATCGAAAGGCTTTGAAAAATCAAAGATGACCTCCGATGTAATAAATTTCTTTCGGATATTGTTGAAATTAGTTATTTAATTTAAATAGCGCGAGTACCGTCAAATGCTCCTTCCTAAAACCGGTCTGGCAAGATGTTAGGGAAAAGTGCTTTTCAGGGAATGTGAGTAATCTGGCCTGTATTATTTTCTCTGGCCACTTCGAAACCGCTTTGAGCGCAGGAAAGGGTCTGTAAGTTCCTAAGTTGTTTTCATCCCCAGACTTGAAAATAACGGTACCATTAGCAACTCGCTGGTCGACATTGCAGCGCACAAAAAAACAACCACAACAAAACTGTCACTTAAGCTTGCCCCCACACAAAAAAAAAACAAAAACAAAAAAAAACAAAAAAAAAACTCTCATACAGTTTTGTCCATTGTGTGTGTAGAAACTTAATATACAGTTTTTTTTTGTTTTTTTGTGGGTGCTGCAACGTCGGCCAACATGAACAACCAACTCGCCCAGTCTGAAGTTTGCACAGCTTAGCGACTCGCATTTTTGCGTTCTATGATACCGTGGCAATTACCATCCTTGGGAAAATTACGATTGTCGGTCAACAAAATCAGCAATCAATAATTCGGTGAATGGGGCCTACCGGATTCAATGCAAAGGAGCTTTAGAGCCGTGGAATAAAATGTGCATGCTTCCACAGTATTAATAACTCCCTCTTGATGACTCCCATCTGAAATATTCCGAGGAAACATCGCGTCTTTGTGGTTGTTTGACTTGATGAGTGTGACTCCCATCTGAAATATTCCGAGGGAACATCGCGTTGTTGGTGGTTGTTTGGTTGTTTTTGGACATTCGCAAGTCGTTGATGTCTAATGAATTTCGTTATGCGCAAGATAAAAAGCGCAGGGTCACGGCGCCTTATTTCTGCGTGAGTGATCTAGTCTGTGATGCCCCACCTGCAAAGGCGACTAGCGCTCTGATGATGCGCTTTTGGTACTGATTGATTGGCTTTTTTGGTGGCTGCGGTGGGACGTGAGATGAAACGGAGTCCACCGGCCACTGTTGGCGGCGAGCGATACTTAGTATACCATACTTAGCCCCTAAGTGACCGTCGGCGCCCGCAGCCGGTTCCTCTATGAAGCTTATACCTCTTCATGTTTACTCACGAAACCACGGGTAAAACATAAACGAACGAACGGTGAGGGCGCAAGGTAGCTGGTGTGCGCTCATAATTGTAGAATGTACGGAGACTGCGGTGGCGACACAAAACTACAGGAAGATAGAAAGAAGTCTTGAACGCAGCTCACATTTCCTTGCTTCAGAATCCATTTATTTATGGTGAGAACAAGGAGAGGTGAAGGGGAACCCTGATAAAGAGGGAACAAAAACCGCAAATGACACAGTCGCAGTTACAAAACACATGGTACGAACACAAACTCTAGCAGTCAGTTTGAGGTTCAAAAGACAGTGAAGTTGTATTTTCCAATTGACAGTTCACAGTCCGAACAAACACACAAAAAATGATCTCAAAGCTGTGCATACTAAAGGACACGCATGCGCGCAAAGACGTAAAATTTACACAAATATATTACTTTTGCTACAGATGTTTTCTTCTTCCCCAACACAGAAGTAAGAGGTCAAGAAAGCTTTTGCAGTTGGCCTCCTGACATAGGGAGGGTTTATGTAGCGCATTCAGACGGTTTCCTATCAAAATTCTCTCTTTGAACAGACGTTTGATGTGATTTTATTTCTGTTGCAATTACAGATGTGAAGTTCCACAAAGGGACACAACTGTTGCTTTCTTAAATGGGTTATGAAATCTCCGAATGCGGATCCTTATTAAGGACACACCGTCTATGTTCGGTCAAACGGTAACTGACGCAGCGCTTGTTCTGACTAATATAGCACAAACCACAGTTAAAGGTTTTTTTTAGAGAATCTCTCAACACACGCGCCACTTTAGTCTTTTTTTTTTGTTTTGAAGGCAACCATTTTGAGATGATGTGAACTTGAGTCAGCCTTTTCGAGCTAAAGTATATGCTAAATGATATATGGGGCCCAACGTCAGCGATATATTTGAGGTTACGGGATACTCAAAGAAAAACGGGAAGGCACACATTTTTGCAGTTCGGAACTTTTTTCAGCCTTTTTTTCGGAGGAAACAATGTGTTAAAACTGCTTGGACAGTAGCTTTTGAAGGTATCTTGCTTCGCTGAGATGGCTGAACAGTTTTTGTATTCTATACAGTGAGCGCACGATTTTTGAACTGTGTTACTTATCAGATTGCAAAGCAGACCCAATTTTACAATTTTTTAATGACAGCTGGTGAACGATAGGTTTTGCCGTCACCTTACCATACGACCAACACAAACCAGTCTGTAGTCCTAACTAAATGTCTAAATAGTGGAGAGGGTTTTTTCCCCGGCCTCTTTATTGACAACCGCAGCTCTGGGGCCTCCCTACACACTGTGGTTTTATTTGAGCTTGCTAAAATTTGAAATGCGCGGCGTTGAGGGCACCTCTTTTGTATGTTTTTGTTGGCACTGTGAACTATCGGTTATAAATCCAGCTTCACCGTCTTTTTAACCTCAATCTGTCCGATACAGTTCGTGTTCGTACCGTGTGTTTTGTACCAGAGTGTGTGCCATTTGTGGGTTTTCCCCTTCTCCATGGTTTCCGCTTTCCCTTTTCTTGTTCAGGCCATATATAACTGGATTCTAGGGCGATAACATTTCAGGTGTTTTTGGTACATTTTTTCTTCTTCCTGTCGTTTGTTGGCCTTCGCCTCAGCTAAAGTGGTGAAGGGGGCCGAGGTGGTTCATGATATACAATTTGAATGCGCTCACAAAGCCGAGGACAAAAAAGAAAGGCGAACAGGACGAGCGCTCGTCCTGTTCGCCTTCCTTTTTTCCCCCGTCTTTGTTAACGCTTTTAAATTTTATTTCGCCTTAGTCTCAAGTAATTGTAGAATTATGAAACAACGCACCAAGTGATAGCGCAGCTTGCGTAGGATCTCAGAGTTCCTAGGAAATTGCAATTGGTAGAGTGAAAGACAGGATTAACCTTCTCCTTCGCGATTAACTTCAGTTGCCACAAGACAGTTTTTTTTTAATTCAATAGTACTAATTATTCACGGCCTTACTCGCGCCCATCAAAAACAGAAGCCGCAAAAACCTTATCATAGAAACGTGCACGTAAAACACTCTACTCCTGAACAAGTTTAAACTTGTCTTAATAATTGTGATGAATCTGAAGATCACAGGTCTGTGTTGAGTGTGCATCGCATCCGAAACCAGCCAAAGCTCCAAGCAATTAGCAGAAAAATTCATAACCCACGCATGACACACGTACGACGTATTCTGTGTTCCCCGGATTTTCTCAAAATAATCAAGGCAAGTTTAATTCTGCTTTTGACGAAACATAATATTGACAAATCTTTAAGAAAAAACCTAAACATATTATTTTTACTGTTTATTAGGGAGCACGTTGGTAATGCACAAATTTATTTTACGTAGGTGTAACTCCTTCCTAAAATGTATTATTTTTGCATGGCTAAACCTATATTCCAATTCCCGGATTTTGTTCATAAAAATATTGTTTTATGTTTTAAATTTGGGTAAACATGTTCAGTTCTAGGAACCTTCTAGGTATAAATATTAAATGATTACTAATCGGTTATGGGTTACCCAATGGTAGGCTAAAATATCCTAATCGGTGCACATTCCTAACAAGAATCTCATATTTCAGAATTCTATGCAATTGATGGAATGTATTACGATGAGACGTATGAATCATCAAACGAAGGAAATGAGGACGCCATCAGTTCTGATGGTGGTGAGAGTTCAGCAAAAGAGACGAACTATGCGTCGACGTCGGAATTAGGAGGCTTTTTGATAAAATCTGACCCACAAACCTTGATGGAAAGAAATATATCCTTAATTACTAATGATCAATGCAAACGACAGCTTGCCACAGCTGTTCCAAACTACGCCCTATGCTCCAAAGGGGGAATATGCTATGTAAGTATGAATAATTCTATGATTCCATCATAAAAAAAGCTTATTTGGTCGACATCTGCACGAAGAATAAAATGACTCCTCGTACCATGAGACACGCGCATGCATTTGTAACTAAGTTTAACTATAGCGTTTTCTCCTGAATAAATCTAAAAATTCACCTGCCTGTATGGATGTAAACAATTTAAGAATCGTACTCTACTCGGAAATGGGAGATATTGGTTCAGTTTGCCGGTGAAAAACAATTTGTTAATCGGAACTGTAAACGAAAAACAGGCTTCACAACTTGTGTTAAAACGTTTTCATACTGTATTCGACTTGCCCGTTCTAAAACAAGCGGAAAACGCTATGGGTATTTTCGTTCTTGTACTCGGTAAATATATTTCTTTAATTGGAAATGAACCTTGTGACATTCCTGGCACCTAAGTTCGAGAATATATCAAATGTAAAAAAAATAATTGCACAGAACGCATATTGCGTTGCAGCTGCTAACCAACATGGATGCAGTGCTCATAGCAGACAAGTATTTATCCATAAAATAAATAGGTCTCATAAAAAAAAAAACCGGTTTTCGGTTTAGATATAAAAATGGCGTCTCAGAAAGCTGGAAATTAATGAGATTCTGACTCTAGTTGTTCGAGATTGCATACGGTTAAAAACAGGAAGTTACTTAAATACAAAATTTAAGGATATACAAAAAAACAATCATGAACCGACGTCCATATAAGCTTAATAGCCACTCATCACCCCTTTCATGCATTCCCTGGTACGTCCCCATTGAAAATAGGGACTTCCTACAATATGGCGAAGTTCATATTACTGAAAACATGGCACGGAACGCCCGCTTCGTACATATCACTCCTAACGCTAGCTCCATGCTTGGTTACTTAAAACGAAATTTTACTTTAGCACCAATGTTACTGGAACTACTTTTATTCAAAAACCTGGTACGCTGTAAATTAGAATACGCTGCAGGAATTTGGGATACCGGTAACACAAAACTCATATCGAACACTGAAGCCATTGAAAACAATGGCAGGCTGTTTATCATTTGTAATTATCATCGTTCGGCTAGTTTGCCATCCATGAAATCCAACTTGTCTTTTCTCCTTTCTCTGCGCCGTAAAGTATCTCGTCTATCGCTTTCTCATAAAATGTACTACCCTTTCCCTACTCTAAAAGAAAAAATTATTCTCCCTCTCCCGCACATCTCTTTTCGCTTTGATCATCAGTATAAAGATGGAATTCCCCAGTGTCGCACCTCCGCCTATAGCTCGACTCTTTTATGCCCAGGTAGTCATCCGAGTGGAACTACCTTCCCGCATTTTTAGTGTGCACATCCTCGATTGATTTTTTTCTCTTTTTATTAGATTTTCAATAACAAGCGATTTTGTTTCAGCAGGCACTGTGACTGCTGGTAAATATTTGTATTCGTTTTCATCTTTGTATATTTCTGTGCTTGCCCCTTTCCTCTATAATACCCTTGGTCCCTGAGGGTACTAAAATAAATAAACAAATAAATATCTTTAAAAGCAAAAAGCAACTTTGTAAATGTCTGTGGCATTTGTTTCAAGAGCAAAAACACCTGTCAGCAGAAAAAAAAAATCATTGTCGTCCTTGTTGACATTTTTTTAAATAGATGCAACGAACGCCCAGAGCGCCATTCTCTTTAATTGAAAAATATTAGACTTAGGCGGATGTCGGCTCACAAAAAAATTTAATGTTTCTCTCGTATCCTTTGATGAAAGGGATGCGCTCCCTCGTTCTCTCACCACCTCTAGCGAAACATTGTCAAAAGTCCCAGCTTTCTGCAATGCGTAGTTTATTTGTACGACCTCCAGAAACGGGTTTTCCTTTCTAAATTGAACCCGGTAGAATATTGATACAAATTTTTCAGAGCGAGGGTGAGCGCCCTTAGCTGCCGACTGTTTCCGATACAATTGCGCCAAGCAAAAAATTGCAACGTGATCGATCCGACCGGAAATGCTGAATGTAAGCGAGGCTGTGCCGCTGAATTCAGCATTCGACAATATTTCAGTGAAGTGTTCACGATTCCTTGTTGGAACCACTAGAGATGGGTAAAGCGTAAATGTGTGAATGTCAAAGCTGAGAAACGAATATGTTTGTTTGTCAACTTTTGAAATATGAAGCATGATCAAATTACAACCGTCCATGTGCCTTTATGAAGGCGAACGAAATTGTACTGTATCAGCAAGTGGGGAAGAAGTAGACAACGCAATATACAGGTGTTAGGTTTCGACACGATTATATATTTTTTTGTTCGATATCGATACAAATACAGTTAAGTCTTTTTAATATGGACCCCGTTAACATGGATACCTCGCCATATGGATAAGATGTTTAGGGACAATCTGGGAAAATACGTGCATTTTTGTCTCGTTAATATGGACAACTCGCATTAAGAACGATTTTTTGTGGGCAAGGAGGTAACCACATTAACGAAACTTCACTGTACATTTCTCATAATGATAGGACGAGTATCACACGACTGCACTCTTCCCCATTTAATTATCAGGCTCCGTGGACATCAGATAAGTGAAAAACCGTCACGGCAAATTGGCTACTTCAGTGAAATCTAATATTTCACTTTTGATTATTAGTTTCATGAAAGTATCAATCGCAGTGTTGGCGCCAATTAATATAGGAGGCCATACAAATTTAAAATAAATTGCGAAAAGATAATGGATTTTCAGGTGTCAATCAATCTTCCATTTCGATTTTTTTTTTGGCAAAGGGGGGGGGGCGATTTTGAGTGTCCGCAAAAAATTGCGCCGCAAACGTCCATAATGACGCTTAGGAGAATGTATGTGTCCATTTCAGTCACGTCATCACTACTTTAGCAGCACGTCCACGGTGAATGAGCCGTCGACACAGTGCCGTAATAGTGACAACATAATTGAAAAGACTGCATCATTCTTTTAGGCGACATTGCGAGCAGGGCTTCGGCGCTCCATATAAGCTCAATTTTCAAATCTGGAAAAAAAACAACAAAGGGGTGCAAGACTCAAAACCCCTTTCTTTTTCTCAAAGTCATTAATTTGGTGAAACTTCTAAGATGTACTACCGTAATTATTGCTATCGTTACATGCTTTGCAAAACCGCCATCGAAATGTTGACCAACAAATCTTGGTTAATTAGCCTACATATTGTGACGCTTATTTCAGCATAAAGCCTCCATTGAATTTGATAAATAAGAGCTGAAGACTGCACCCGTGTAACTCTCGAAGTTTTTTTTCAAGAGTCTATTCAAGTAAAAATTAAACACCTTGTGGAAGACAACAGGAATTCCCAAGAGTTCTGTCAAAGAAGTCGCTGCAGGCATTTATACATGTTTCCCCCTGCTTGGAGAGGTTGTCGGATGCCACTCGCGAGAAAGGACTCTGTTGCCTTCTTGAATCATTTGTTCACCACAGCCATGACATGCGCTTTTAAGTAGAATTGTAGCCCTTTTATTGTTTTCTGAAAGGTTCAAGCAACTGAAAATCGCGAAGGGACATATCCAGACTCTAAATCGGGATGGAGAAAAACCTCCCAACCTTCCTGAGCTAATGCACCCTGCAAAATGGTCGAACAGCAGGACGAGCGTTATTGTGTAACAAAATCATACCAGAAGAAAGCGTGAATCGTCTCGTAGTCCCAATGGCTCTATGCATCGTGCGCAACGCGCCACTAATTGCAGTGTTTAGCACATGATTTTCAAGTCAGCGACTTTACATTTTGTCAACAAAAGCCCTTTATGGTCAGGCATACTTTGGACGGATACCAAGTTGCGCCCACCTAGTTGTCAATGGCGTCCAATAGAAAGGAGAATTGCGGAGAAGTTAAATGATTCCTCGCTTGTAGTTTTCTCTGTACTCATTGCGATGAGTTAAACCTCATCAGGCTCCGCGCTCGCCTGTGTACGTGACGTGGCATAAACCTGTTTAGATTGATCACGTGCTACAAATAATTTAATAAACTTATTTTGATTTTATAAAGCGGTGGTTAGTGCGTAAGGACTGGTTTATGGCGGTATTGCCGTATATCTAAGGAAGCTTGCTATATCTCTATGACCATTCTTCATAAAAAATAAATACTACAATTGATGCACAATTTTTGTTTTTCGCATGAAGATAACGAATTCGGAGACCCCAACCAAAAAGTTGGAACTAGGGCGGTAGACGTTTTTAATTCAGCAGCTTTTTTTCCTTTCACCAGAAGGTAGAATCTACACACCTACACATGTAGTTCAGAAACAAAACAACAAAAACAAAATATTACGAAAAAGTAAAGGCAGCTAGTGTGGCGCCAGACACCAATTTTTTGCCATGAATCAGCTGCAGTGATTTGTTATTGTGATATCTCCGCTTTATTTGTTTAATATTTTCGATATTAATTTAGTAATAAATCGTTTCCTTTGTTTTCAGGGAGACAGTGGAGGACCGTTGATGTATCAAAAAGAAGGACAGTGGTTTCTTGCTGCCATTAATTCTGTTGCAGGCGGTCATTGCTATAACCCTGCTCGGCCAGCGATACATGTTATGGTGTCCCACTTTGTTGACAGCTTAATTTTTCCCTTTATACGGCAATATCAGAAGTCGGAATCAGCAAAGCATAACTTATGTATCGACGACGAGGCTCGAAAGCGATGTGTAACTACCTTTTATGACTCTTACAACATGTCAGTAGACGATTCAGAAGGAGACGACAAAACTAGTGAATCAAAAAGTTAACAGTTTATCGTATACTCATGTCATGCATCTTCAATTCCCTTCTTATAATGAACCTTTCTAGCAAGCGTTTTAGGGTGAAAATACACTGGCGTCGCTTACAACAGCAAACGTCAAAATTTACTTAAGGGTAGCATTTTTGTTTTGTTCAACCAGCATTAAGGGCACACACAAACAGAAAATTCAAAAGGTCCACTTATCTTCTGTGTTTGTTCTACCCAGCACTATACCTTCGCCGAGGGAGTATTGCAACGAAAGGGCGAATGCAAGAAGCATGGACTAGCAGCAGAGAACAGAAAGCACTGGTGTAGGGTACATACGTTCGTGGGGCCCTTAACGCACTCGCGTAGTTGTTAAAAGAGCCCAAAAGGCGAAGGCGCTAAGAGCGGTTAATCAGCACTTCCTGCGTTTTAGTGCAGCGTCCTTTGCGAACGGAGTTGATAGTGCGCTAATGTCTCCACATGGGCCTACGCTAGTCTGCTAAACTTGCAAGTGGCCGTTTAAAGACGCTGGCGTGCATTCCCGACCAGCGAAAGCTCGCGTGTTTACTCTCATACGAAGACAATGGCAGATACGTCAATGTTGTCATAATGTCATGATCATTGTCGTCTCTCATATCGTTCTTAACTTAAAACGGCGTGTAGTATAAGAATGTAAGGGCGAAAACGATCTCATTAAGATTGAACATGACACAAACCCCGAGACGGCCGGTAAAATCTCCCGCAGTCTCAACGTCTATGTAATGAGTAGGACATCATAGCACAATGCATAATATATTATATGGTATTGCGTATTTAAAACGGCACTGAACTATCCTTTCTTTAAAAAAAAAAAAGTCTAGTCATTTCTAAAACAGTCCTTGTGGTCTACTTTCCATTACCCTGTGACATTCAAGAATTTTCTATACATCTTGTTTCCAGAGAAGAAACCGAATATTTTGTACGATGTAATCGGGCTACAAAATTGATAAAAATACTTTTAAACCTTGGCTATAACAAACGTAAAACAACTGCGGCGCTTTGCTATGGTAGTAGGCGTGCACCATTATGAAATTAAATATTATTTCACATAATTTAAATTCGCTCGAACTAACTTTAAATTATTACGTGACATATGTTATGAAAATGCGATATATCTGCAGTACGAGCTTTCAGGCTCGGTTGTCTCTCTGCATTCAATTAGCTATTTTGAGCATGTCTTGAGTTTTCTGTTTTATGTACTTCGCTCGAAAATAAGGGTGCCGCAACGTGATTTTCTTTTGAATGTCACTGATAGCTAGAGTTAGTGGGTGGAACCTCAATAATATTTTACACTGCGTAGCATTTAGTATTTTTTTAAGTTCTCTTGTTTGAATTTTCCACTCTTGCTTTTACCCTACCGGGCTAGCAGTATTGTAACACAAAATGATTAAAAATAAATAAGAAATTGTTTCTTTATCTGATTTTGTTGTTCTACTAACGCTTAATCGCTCGCTCCTTACCTTCTATCTATAAGTAAGTACTGTCTGGAGAGTGCCTCCTCTATTCACTGGCATGTACACTGAACGGCGCTGTTAGAGCGAACATGCCTACAGCGCACCCTCGTGTTCTGCTCAGATATTCTGTGGGCGAAGCAAAAAGTGCGTTTGAAGTTGTCGCTAATATGCCACAATTCAGCACTCTAGAAATTTTTAGAAAGTATATCTGGTTGTAAGACAAAAACATAGAAAACTTGCATCACAAGGGAAATATGGAATGTAATTCATAATTTAAATATCATCATGCGTAAATGATTTGGAAGACACGCGAAATATTTTATGGGACCCCAAAATTCTTTTAAAATCGAGACTGCTAATTTGTTTATTTTTTATAAGCAACACTAAAGGCAAAACATGCTAGAAAAAAACTTGAGAGAAACACTGCAAGGTTCTGTTTAAAGGTAAAGAAGCATTAAGCTTTTGGGGTATCTGCTCTGTCTGTTTTTCGACGGGGGACTACCGACGGTCAAGCAGTGGCATCCGGTGGTGCTACCGACGGGCTTCCGATTCGCGATCCAGTTTACTACAGTAGACATCAGAGCACAGAACGAGGGAACGAATATTCATTGAGAGAACAAAGGATAGCTTGGTTACACGTGGAGAACGGCACACGCTGCAGACTTGTGTATAATGAGGTGCGAATTCCGCTTTTCTATTATTTTATATTCAAGCAACCCCTACCCCGAGAGGAACATTAAAAACTCGAGTTCATTGGATCCACGGTGTGTCGCAATATGATTTAGAATGGGCAAACGGCGACCAGCCAGTACAGACCACGCTGCGTAACAGGCAGCGAGCTAGGATTCAGAAAAAAACTTTACTAGATTGTGTTTCTACATCAGGTCGCACAAGGATAGTCTTTGTCATATTTTAATCCGAAAGCATTAACTCTCCCATCGAGCACGCAGTCGACGTTCTCTGTGACCGCGAAAAACACCTCCAACACAAAAAAAAAAAAAAGACTGCAACGCAGATCCATCGTCACGGAAGGCGGGGAGCCTGCGGGGTTCACCCCGCCCGCGCGGTGGGAGATCGTGATGTCGCCTCCGAAGCGCCGTGTGCAATCGGAAGACGTGGCGCGGTGCTCGTGGGAATGCTTTGCGTGTGGGAATGCTTTCGCATTTCTACAAGCAGCGTTTCACGCCTTTCGCGTAAGCAGTCTTAAGTGCCCTCCTATGTTAACGTAAAAGTATATATGAAAGCCATGTTCTTGAGAGGAGCTTTCTGTTACATGCGAACATCGTAGCTAATGTTCTTGCAGATATATATAAATTTTGAAGCTTGAGACGTCCACTGATTGCCAAGGTTTCACCGTTTGAATCTCCACAGTCATCAAGTTCGCACCAAAACACGGGTGTAGTAATCATTTATACATTTACTTTGTATCTTATTTCGTGTCCCATGAGTGCGACAGACATCCACCAACCAGGAAGCTAGATTACGATACATTTATGCAACTGGTCTGATACTTCTGGTCAGGCAGGTTGAGGCCAATGTAGCCAAGCTCACACTCATTAGTGGCATCCACACAAATTGTTGTGAGGCGAGATGTCAGACAGCACAAAAGAAGCATTCACCGCTTCCAGAAGGTTCTTACGAAACGAAAAGCATGCAAGTGTACGTCAAGAGCGACACCCGGGCACTGTCAGACCCGAAGACTTTGTGTTTGGACCGGCTTAAAAGATACCCTGCCAATATAATTATTGGCAAAGTCGAAATCATCGTAAGAAGATTCTGACGGCTCAAAACACGGTAAGGAAACAAGGAAATTGAAATGTTTGTTTAAGTGGCTGAAGCTCTGAGGAAACTCCTTTGTGATTGCATCCAATGGAAAAGTCGCAGTTTCGCTTGCTGTGCTGTAGTGCCTCTAGGAATCTAGCAGATGTGGAGGCAAGCAACGTTACTGGCCTTTTAACATAGCAGCCTTCCTGAACGGAGGAGTTTCGAGAGCCCCGTGACTAAGAGGAATTTAACAAATATATAATAACATTCAAGCGGTCCTTTACTAGAGCTATTTTTGAATTTCTTTTTCCAATGTGTTTCTTACACAATGATCTATCCTCGGCAAATGAGACCTAGCCAAAGTCGATCCCCTACTGAAAAAAACCATTTGGCGCCTGTATGAAAATAAACGGGTCTATACCGGTAACAGTTTAGCCATAACGGTCACCAGTTTGCCAAAGGGGTCCCCCGCATGAGCCATAACGGTCACCTATTTGGGCAAACAGTTCACTTCTCTGGCAAAGTTGTCGCACGTCTCGTCGTCGTCGGGGCAAATGGGCGACTCGTTTGGGCAAAGTTGTCGCACGTTTGCCCAAACCGGTGACCATGTTGCAAACTGTACCGGTATAATCAAACGGCTCTCGGGAGCCCGTTTGATATTGAACGTACAGATCGGCGGCCTGGGCGTGCCTAGCTGTTTCAGCCGTGGCAGCCAATGTTTCCGGAAGGCTGGGAGCGCCGGTTCATTGATTTCAGATCATCCGCGTAATGCAAGTAATTGTATTTATATTTTAAGTGCGCTGATGTGCGCTTATAGACGCTTTACACACGCGCCTGAATACAGCCGCCATTGCTGACCTTCTCTTGTTTTACCGAGATACCGAGGCGCTGAAATCGGTGTGGACGAGCCTCCACAAAAGCCAATGCTGGGGAGAACGATAGAATGAAATCTAAGATTTCAATAACCTAGCCTGCTATGGTAATAATGAAGTGAAGTAAACGTAATAAGGGGAAACAAAAATTGAAGGTCAGTTATGGCGGTGCCCATGCACAGCTGCTGCAAAGCGTCTATACTGCGACTAAAACTAGCACATTTTTTTTTCTTTTTTTACGTAAACGCGCGACGTTGGTGAGCCGATATTTTTGACAGAACTTTAAAACTTTGTCCACCTTTTTGCCTCAATTTTCTTATTCAGCTCAAATCTCTCTCGCAGAAGACGCGACCGCATGAAAGAATGTACTTCTAGAGTCCGCTTCACTTGATTTCAAGATGCGGCGAAGGTAGCGCGAACACGTGCCTGCAAGAACATCGAGCATTGCGAGAGCACGCCCGCCGTTGCAGTAGTCAAATTACGAGCTCGTGAAGGGTGCTTTTTTGGCTCATGCGCAAGCCGAGCTCATGGCCGACGCCATTTCCAGCGTGCGTGCTGAAATGCGCGCGTTTCGCCTGCTTTCCAAGGCTGCAAACGCGACGTGCAGTGGCAACTTCAAGAGAGAAGAAAAGCGTGTGTACAGCGGTCCGTCCACCCTCTCCCCTAGCATTGACTGCATTGCCACAAAAAGCCAACCGCAAGTTTTTTATGTTTTTTTTTTTAATAGAATGCATGAGGAGAGGTTTGCAAGGTAGGGGGTTGGGGTGTCCCGGGGTCTTGCTCCTTGACCTCGCCGTCTACCCCTTCCTCCTTTCTGGTCGGCTCTTTCACGTGACCAGAGAGAGGGTAGGGCACGCTACACGCTGATAAGCATAGCCAGATCCGGCTGCGCGCGCGTTGACAGTCGCTTGTTTCTTTGTCTGCTTGTTTTCCGTTGCAACTTCGTTTGTTCTGCCTGCTTCAATCTGCCGCCTTTCCCTGCGGTACTATAAGAATGTTTCTCGACAACGTATGGGATGTGCACCAAATGTTCGAAAAGTCCTAGCGTATATCGGCAACAAGCGATTCTTCAAAGAAGTCAGGAATTCTTGCGGTTTGGCTGGGTTCGGCAAATGACAGCTTGTGTGCCGCATCGTGTTGAAACTTCAACGAGCCTTCCTTCTCGTTTTTGTGTTTGTGTGGTTGTCCGGCTTTGACCATGACGACAAATATCACGGATTACATCTTTCAAGTCCGCTATTATTATGGTGAGTGCACTGCAAAATACGTGTTGGCAACGATTGGCCGCTCTTCTACGCGTACTCTTCCAGGTTATCCATAGAATTATGCAGCGCCTATTCACGCGGCAGCCGGGAGAATAATTTCCCCGAAAGTCTAGTTGTACAGTCTAGAATTACATCGGTTCTTGTTTGCTTTGCAATCTTCTCAGTTGTATAAAAGCTTAAAGTGCCTCGCGCATTTCACAGATCGCTTGCACGTTTGTACTTGTCGTCAGAAGAGGTAACAAACTTTGAGGAGAATTGAAAACAATCCTTTGTGTCTGTTTTCCTTTCCATTTGCAAGCACCTACGCCAGCGCATTTGTTCTACGTGTTTTCTCCATGTTATAAATACGTTTATGAGTTTCGGGACGTCTTAAAAAAGTTTACAATAACCAACCTCCCAGGCGATAGCCATTTAGGGCTAGCGAATCTGAATGGCACGTTCAAACGTGTGGTCACGTGCAAGGTCGAACGGGCACCTTATCAAACGGGCACCTGTATCAAACGGGCATCCGTATCAAATGGGTACCGTTTCGAACGGGTACCGTTTCAAACGGGTACCTGTATCCCACAATCACGTTTGATTCAAATTAGGGCTGGGCGTCGATTAAAAGTTTTAACCCGATTAATCGCCACCCTTTAATCGATTAATTAATCGATTAATCGGTCTCGTTTATTTCTTTGGAAAATATTAAAAGAAGTCTTTTTTTTTGCTGAATCTGTGATAAACGGTGCAATGTACAACTTGGATTACTAATTAATCAAGATCACTATCAGATATCTTTCACAAAATATTACTTTTGCTGCGTGAGGCAAAGATGTTCGTTGATATTCTCTAGAAAGAGCGACTTCCTTTCATTGTTCACAATAGTCTCTACTGCGCTAAACAGACACTCGAACGACATTGAAATGGCCGGGGACTTGCGTAACCTCTGCACTAAATCTGATGCTAAAAATATATCGCCTCTATACAGTTTACCTCATTCTAAAATTTGACCTAAAGTTCGCCCTTCGTACAGGCGTACTCGTCCACGTCTGCGTTATGGAAGGGTTTGACGGAGGCTTATTGCGGAAAAGGCGCCGTGTAACCGAGCTTTCGGTTGCACGTCAAAAGATCCCCAGGTGGTCGAAATTAATCCTCAGTCCTCCGCTGGGGCGTGCCAGATGCCCATCGTTGGTTTGGCACGTAAAACCCCAAATTTGACTTTGATGGAAGGGTTTAATTTAGAGTTTTTTGGTTCGTCTAAATTTTACCGATTAACCAGTTAAAACATTTAATCGCAATTAAAGCATTAATCGGTTAATCGGTAGGTTAATCGATCAATTGCCCAGCCCTAATTCAAATGGATCGACAGGTTTGATTCAAACGGGTCGACCAGTTTGAATTTCAAATGTTTTTTTTCAGCAGGGGAGCCAGCAAAATGCCCATATATTATGAGGAATTCTGAGAGTAGAAGCTTGTCGAGGGACTCTATCTCCTTTTTCAAAATCTCCAGAAGGTGGGCAATTATTTGTTTGAGACGAAGAATTTCTCTGCAAAGGTCAGCATCGTCGCCAATTTCGGAAAGGAGTTCTTCGTCCCTCTGCTTCTGGATTGTATGTTTCTTCTAAAACAAGAAAGTCGAAATAGAAATATACGTGTTTAGCATCTTTAATATATTCAGCCTAATATCTCAGAGAAGCATTCTTAAATTGTGTTCACATATTAACAATTGGGCCATGTTTCAAACCGAGCTTTTACTGTACTCCGCTCACCATTAAGCTCACAGGGTGGTGCAGCCCATGTTTGGCGGACCGGACACTTGCCTGGCTTTTATCACTTGATCCCCCCTCTTCATGTGAGCATGATCATGTGACACAATACAAACAGTTGACTGGTCCACCCAGCTGGGAGCGTCCACTGCCCTCTTAGTTAAGGGGTAAATGAAGTACAGCAATGCAATGGTGACAACAGCACTAAACTAAAACTTCCCGACAAAAGCACTGGCTGTTCAGGTTTCTTTTGCCACTGCCCGCTTGGCCGTGTAATGTTGTTGCCCACTTAATGCTGGCTTCGGCGTTGACACTTAGCTTCTTGGCACAAAAAGCAAAAAACACTTGAAAACATTTTGAATTCGTAAATTGTTTATGGGTCAAAGAAAATAGAGCATTCCACGAACCACAAGTAAAACTGCTTGTTATTTATGAGCGGCCTTCCTTATCTCAACGCTCAACTAGAGCAGTAATCGCGCTTACAGTTTGTAGCGGAATGCTGCCAGCTTTACGTAGATTAAGCAATGAACGGCGTTGACCCTGCAATGGCTGGCAGACATGTAGTAGTGACGACAAAAATCAAAAGCCTCTCGAATGCTGTTTGTACACACAATAGCCTCGCCATAGATCAGCTTTCTTCTTTCAGATAGCACTAGGATCCATGATGCGGTGCGGTCGCTTGGCCTTCACGAATCTTCCATGAATGTACGGCTGAGTTTACGGACCGTGGGAAGAGACTAAAAAAAATTATTTAATGCAGTGCCTCAAAGTATGGGCATGCTTCTTGAGTGTAGATGAATATTTGAGGGATGACGAGTCACCCACACCCATAAGGTACGTCCGAATTCCAAGGTAGTGCCACAAATAATTTCTTTTTTTTTTTGTTTCTTTCCGCAGCCCGTGAACATTTGCGATCGATAGCACAACCACTTTGTGGGCACACATGGCAGTCAACATTGAAAGCTGTTTCTAATGGCTTCTTAGAGCATTCAGGACCTCCCTTTCTCTTTTCATATTAATGCTCTCGAAGTCAAAGTTGATTAAACAAAAGTATAATTGTGCCCTTTAAGCCCGCAATTACGTAAAACAAAGTTCTTCCACATAGGTTCCATTCACTGACGCTCACAGCAGAGTGTGATACTTCTGAGCAGGTGCTTGCGTCGAGCTTCTACAGCACTTCAGAAGCGTGCATTCCACAACACTAAGGTTCTTGTTATTTGCAGACAGTCAGCGGAAGACTGTGAGTACGGACTGAAAAGTGAACTCGAATATGTCATCCAGGTAATATATGAAATCATGAAACTAATTATATAGCTTACGCCCGTCTTTCCATGACCTGCCACAGGAACAGCCTTGCTTTTTGTCTTAATTAATATCTCTATTTTCCTAAGAAGCTTGTTCTTGTCAGCTAAATTAAAAGAAGAAAGTTCTGTGCTTCAGAACCATGACATATATTCAGGAAATCTCACACTAGCCGCCGGAGCAAAGGTCGAGAGGATTCTTGTAATCCCCAGCGAAAAAAACGCGACAGTGACGCCCGGTAAAAGCATACCAGACATTGCTTACCCCCAACTGCCATAACGGTACAATCAATGCGTAAAGGCGGTCGGCGTAGTACAGACTATCGTTATCTGAGCGTAAAAGCGATCTGCTAAAACTGCTTGTTCGCCCTGCTTTTTGAACACCGCGCGGCCTTCCTCCCCTAGGATATGATAATAATATATGCACAGTGACCCTACCTTAACTCAACTAGCAGTGGCACCATTTGCTCAATGCATGTTTTACGTTTAAGAACTATAAAGCTAGGTTCTTATCGGAAATGTCCATCACTAGAGCAGGGAAGGAGCCCCTGTTCTGCCACAGCACGTGGACCATAGACTCCGTTGACTAGGAGAGTTTACGAATCGCACAACTCTTTATGTAGACGTGTCCGACAGCATCATACTTATTCTCATCCTCGAAATAGACGAGCACAAACTCGCCGTCGTTGCATTCAGTCAGAAGAGAACGGTGCATACAAAATGTGACGACTGCTCAACGGATTGGATTAGCATATATCTTTTCACATTGACACCTTTTTGTACTTGACCGATAATACCGCACAGGAAAAAAATGGATATACTTGTTAGTAACTTAGTTCGACTAATTAAATTTTACACTATACTTTGTATTTTTTTTTGTCGAGTAATTTTTGTTTTGCGCTTTGCGTTGCAAGTTACCGGGGTGGCAGTAAAGAAGAATCCGGGGAGCGCCACGGTCGATCCGCCAGTTTTAAACGGTGCATATTTTCTGTCTGCCATGCATTGGACCCGCCAGTTGTGGCTACAGAGTCCTCGGAGGAAGCAAAGCAGATGTTTCACGTGATATTGTTTTGCGTGCACGCGCGAAGACGAGTCCTTACGACACCTGAGGCAGCATTTCAAGCCCCGAACGCGGAACGTTTCGTTTACTCCGGTGATGGTTCACTATGCCGCGTGGGCGTAGCAGCTGCACCAAGAGAGCTCGAAACGATTAAAACTCTACGAAGAGAAGTTTTGTCTGCTCCCAATGTTTCTGAAAATCAGCGTACGAAAACGGCAGCCCTTACCGCAGTCATAGTTACGGATAAGGCACGTCGACTTCGACGAACTTCCCGTCGTCAGCTAGTCGTATGGCTACCGTGTCTTTTATTGCGACTTTGGTATTATTTATTGCACTTGATAAATAGTAATATACATGCGTGCTGGTGTTGGGGGTAGGCCGACGCCCATGGAACTAGTGGGCCCACAACACCTTCGAGGAGAATAGAAAATCCATCTTGTCATACATTTTTTTTTTTTTGACAGCTAACTGCCGGATGCGCCACAACGAACGGAGAACGCCTGAAGACGCCGCCGCCTGCTCTCTTACTCTACGAGGTCGGTGCACCGTTTTATGCGCAGCGTCGTCTGCTACTCTAAGCGATGGTTGCGTCGCCTTTCTTTCGACCTTCAGAAAACCACCGTCGCTTCATGAACGAGACTGGGCGTTCGAGTAAAGGGGAACAAAATACCAAGAAGTCTACCTAATTTATTTATTGACTAACAACCACGAGACGCATTTCAAAAACCAAAGAACTCGCGGCCGAGGCATTTCCCTCCGAGATCCGCTTGCTCGCCGCATTGGGGTGGTGAATATTGATTGCTGCCTTTATATCAGGTGGCAGCTTGCGCCACCGAACTTTGAATTATTCAATTGAAACATGCTTTCCTTTGTTTTTCTTTTCTACCATACCTAATCTTCCCCTCCCTTTACCTCCCTACGATTATCACCGGGCAGGTAGAGTACTTTCCAGGAAGACCTTTGCGCTGGCTGCTCTTGTTGCGAGCAAGCGGGGTGAAATTCGAACGCAATTAACCAGTCGCCAGCTCATTCAAGAACAAAATAAAACTTTAAAAAAATCAGCAGCCTTTCATTTTGTATAAATAAAAAAATGCATTACCGACTCTATTACTTCTGAATCAAAACTGCTTCCAACAAAACACTGAAACTTTCCTCTGGATTGACCCGGCTACACGTGGTTTGGCGCAACCGGCTGTGGCGGAGAAGCGGGCGGGCATCAAAAGAGGCCTTTGCGTGGTTGCACTTTCGCATGGTCAAATGGCACGGACTCGCCACCGTTGGTGGCGAGTCCGTGCCATTTGAAAGGCCAAGTTACCCGTGTTGGCATCCTCGCATTTGAGTTGTACTGCACATCCATTCAGAATGAACAGGCAGAAGCCCGGTTCCCTTAAGAGGTATTTTACAAGCAACAGCGAAGTCGTAAGTACCTCTCAAGCGGATCGTTTAAGTGCTGTTATACGGCACTCTACGCGCTCATCGAAGTGCCGTCCTAAGCTTTTCAATACGCGCCATCACGAGAGGAAAGAAAGAGTCTGCCCCTTCTGCAGGTTGAGCCTTATGTTTAGATGATTTCGTTTTTTTTTTCTACGTTCCAATCACTCCCAGCAGGGCGACAATTTAGGAACAAGGCTAGAAAAACTCTCTATTCTAGCTAGACTTTAAAGGAGAGGACAAGGTGGGTTAGACCTTGGCTTAGACTAGTGTATTGTTACTATTGCACAGTACTTCGTATTCGGAGCACCAGGCTACGTAGATCTTTTATCAGCATGTAGGAAATAAGGCTTTGCTGTGTCAAACTAAGCTTACGCTGTATAAATGTGGAATAAATATATTAACCGGTGATATACGTACATTAACAATATGGCACATAATGTTCCATATTTTGAGAGTTGCAATTTCCGCTCAGTCTCAGTAAGCATAGTACTTACATAGATGGACCGTAGCTGGCATGATTTAGATACAAAGAGTGAGTGCTGCTAGCAATTTTGATCCGAGCTGTCAGCCGGCATCTTTTCGCCAGGCCTACTTTGCCATCTGCTGCCACAGTAAAGACCGCAAAACTTTGCCGGCAGTAGTTGCATGATTAAGGGCAGCCAACGGAGAACCACTGCCTGCATTATTTTTCTCTGGCTGCCGTACCCTATAAACCTATCTATATAATGCTGGCAATACAGTCACATGTTTGCAGCCAGCAAATGGGAGGAAACTGCCAGCATTTTTCCTCCCAGACAACTATGCCGGCTGCCGGCAAACTAGGCTCTTCTTTCTTTCCTGAAGTTCAAGCAAAGTGAACGTCTCTGGAGCAAGCTACACACTAAACATCGTAACACCCTTGTGGGTGTAAATGGCTTGTCCTATAAATAACACCCATTTGGGTGTAGCAAAACGCCCTAAAAAAGGGCGTTATTCCTAACACCCCTAAAATACAGTGTTTTCCCCTAACATCCTTAAAGAACGGCGTTATTGCGAACACCCTTAAATTAGGGTGTGATTCCACTATACACCTTTTTATTAGGGTGTTATGACTGCGCAGTACGCCCTCTAAATTGAGTGTATCACCGCCAGAAAGGGAATTAGAAAAAGGCGTGATTACCAACACCCATAAATAATCCAAAACAGTGCACGAAGAAATGACAACAAATGCCTGGTTCACTTTCTGTTTTTTTAATCAAGGTTCTAACATATTCTAGAAAATTCTCTATAGACGATTGCAAGCAGGTCTACTGGCCGCAGCCATGTCTCTGCTTACGCGGACAAGTGCGTGCAATTACAAGCGTGCCATAGGGCAAAGCTACGGTCACGCGCACGTCATCAAACTTTTCGAAGGCAAGACTGAAAGAAATAGTTCTCTTTTATCCTCGCAATTCCACCACGACCAAGACGCTTCTAAACCAGTATCGGTTCGTGCGTGTAAGGTCATGAATATTTCAACCGGATATTGTTTCATAACCCCTTCAAATTCTACAACCGAAGGCCCTAGTTGAATCTCCAACTGTACTTTTCTTGTGACGTTTATGCTTCCTTGCACTGGTGACGTGGACAAAACTGTCAGGCTTGCAAAGACGGTACGACCGGGAGTTGCTTGGGACGTAAGCGGCAGTTCATGTTTGTAAACCGTAAAATGGTCTATTGAAACGGAAGCAGGGAAGCTATGTTCCGCACAAGTTTCATTACTCCTAAAAATAGACGGAAGTGACGATATCGCGTTTGATTGGTTAGAGGTTCAAATGACGAAAGTTACCTATTTTTGCCATTTGACCTTCTAACCAATAAAACGCGATATAGTCGCTTCCGTCACTTCCGTTTCTTTTTAAGAAAAACGAAACATTTGTCGAATATAGCCCCCTTGGACTACTATCAGAAGCATGCTTGCAGAGTACTTACAAATGAAACAGCGATCTCATGTAATCCGTGATAGATGCATAATCCGATTCGGGCAGCACAGAACTATCCACAAACACAATGTCGAGGATGAAGGCGGTCGCTCACATTCAGCGGAAGTTTCGCGGTCGCCGATGAGCACCTCTCTGTCGTGATAGATGCATAATCCGATTCGGGCAGCACAGACCTATCCACAAACACAATGTCGAGGTTGAAGGCGGTCGCTCACATTCAGCGGAAGTTTCGCGGTCGCCGATGAGCACCTCTCTGTCGTGATAGATGCGTAATCCGATTCGGGCAGCACAGACCTATCCACAAAGACAATGTCGAGGTTGAAGGCGGTCGCTCACATTCAGCGGAAGTTTCGCGGTCGCCGATGAGCACCTCTCTGTCGTGATAGATGCGTAATCCGATTCGGGCAGCACAAAACAACGCAAGCACAATGCCGAGGTTAAAAGCGGTCGATCACATTCAACGGAAGTCTCGTGGCCGCCGATGAGCAGCTCTTTGTTGAAACGCGTCCAACAAATACAGCACAATAATTCCATGGACTCCGACGAAATAAACGACCATTTCCGAAAAGTTAGCAATGACGTATTCCGGCCGTTCACGACGAAAAATCACGGCCGCGACTGAAACGCGTGGCCCCTACAACTCACCATAACTTGGCATACGGCAAAGACTACGGCCCCAGTAGCACATCAGCGCGTCAGAGCGAGTCACGTGACAAATTTTCGTCTAAGCGTCCTTGTCCTACGGAGAGCGGTCACGTGTTTCGCTCCACCGCTCTGATTTGCTAGAAGCGGCCTTCGCACTCGCTCGCAGCAACACGAAGACGCAAAAGAAGGTTTGGAGGCTTATCAGAAGACGAGGTCAAAGGGGGCTGAACAAAGCAGCTAATCTCCCTCTGCTGCTTTGTATTGCCACCTGCCCTGCCCAGGGAAGGTCGCGAAGTCGGACTCGTCAGGACTTGCTCTGCGTAGTACAACCTTGAGAGTCTCAAACGGCCACTCATGTAGACGCGCATGCTCTGGTTCGGTCCGCGAGATCACAAAATAAATACAAAAACAATTTTTTAACGCCGTCGAAGACGCGGTTTCACGTGTACCAAAGGAAAACCGGAGAAAAAAGCGTTGGGAACCTAGGTACTTTGGTGTCATTACGCAGAGGTAAGTGTCGCGTCTCTGGGGGTGTCATTAATCCGGCACTTTCGATTGTCTTGCGACATTGTTTCTTCAGAGCTACACTCCAAAATAAAGTCTCAGTGAAGGTGCTATAAGTAGTGCGAAACCGAATCTGGTGAGTTTGTAATATCCCAAATGACGGCGCCACAGTTTGTTCAAGTCTTCAGCTTAAAAGTCTTTCTCAGGTTAAAAGTAAGCGGATTCTATTTCGCTTAATCTTGCTTTGTTTTGTTTTTTAACGTCAGAGTTTAGGCAGTCAAGAAAGAGAAATTTCTCGTCGGCATAGCCGATTCACGCTGGACACTTGTGACAGTCAACCAAAAACGGCGCCAAGTACGGTATGTAAGGATAGCGTCGGCGCTACCCATCCCATTTTTCACAGATATTGGCTAGACCAAAATAATATCGGCACAATCTTTCCGATTTAATTCCACAACAGCGCAATACTGTGTGCTGCCTAGGTTGTAGATTTACTAGGGCTGGGCGTCGATTAAATGTTTTAACCCGATTAATCGCCACCCATTAATCGATAAATTAATCGATAAATAATTCGATTAATCGGTCTCGTTTATTTCATTGCAAAATATTAAAAAAGTCTTTTTTTGTGAATCTGTGATAAACGGTGCAATGTACAACTTGGATTATGAATTAATCAAGATCACTATCAGATATCTATCACAAAATATTACTTTTGCTGCGTGAGGAAAAGATGTTCGTTGATATTCTCTAGAAAGAGCGACTTCCTTCCATTGTTCACAATAGTCTCTACTGCGCTAAACAGACACTCGAACGACATTGCAATAACCGGGGACTTGCGTAACCTCTGCACTAAATCTGATGCTAAAAATATATCGCCTCTATACAGTTTACCTTATTCTAAAATTTGACCTAAAGTTCGCCCTTCGTACAGGCGTACTCGTCCACGTCTGCGTTATGGAAGGGTTTATTTTGAGTTTTTTGGTTCGTCTAAATTTTACCGATTAACCAGTTAAAAAATTTAATCGCGATTAAAGCATTAATTGATTAATCGGTAGGTTAATCGATCAATTGCCCAGCCGTAATATTTACACGTCTTCGTTAATCTTTTTTTTTTCGAGCGGAGATGATTTTTTTTTAATCACGGTTGAACCGATAAAACTGATGCACGCGCGAAACATAATTTTAGGCTCGTGTCGAACGAAGAGTTCGATAGGAGTTGCAAAAACTATTCTCTAGCACTTCCTAATCATACGCGACTCTGTGTGGCGATTAATTATACTCGATGTTTATACCACCGTACATCAACAACAGTTTCACCAAAGCAATATATATGAACGGTTATGAAATCATGGGTGTATTTGACAGCATCATCATTACGCCCCTTTCACACCGTGCTGATGCAGGGCGTAAAATTCGCCCATACACCCTTTTTACACGATTTCAGACACCATCGCTGTAAGTGGGGCGTAAAGAAAGCGTGTAAAGGGTGTAAAACGTCAGCACACACTTTTTACACCCACCGATATTCAGAAAGCGTGTAAAAAGGGTGTTTTTCCTAGACTACACGCTTCTTACACCCTTTTTACACGAATATGGGTGTTACAATGTTTAGTGTGTACTTGCTTTGAACTTGTCAAGCAAGGTTGGCCAATGGAAATTTACTGAATGTCGGCTCTGCTAGCATGAGATTATGCAACTGCATTTCAGAAGCTCATTTTTTACATATGTTTGAATTTGAAGCACTAAAAAAAATGTTTTTTTTTTCAACATGATAGGTCTCACGACGTACCCAAGCTAGGTGGGACCAGCTTTTTGAAGATGCAGGCTGTTCCGAACCTCAGAACAGCGCAAGTTCCGATCAGCTTGCAATCATCCCAATTCTTTTTTGACGAAAGTATGGGGCAGAGGATGCAAGTGTTACCGAAGAAGAGAGGAGCTTCTGCTCGGACATTTGTGTTTCAAGTTTTAATGAAGCTGATGACGGAGACAGTACCTCCTGCGTTGAACAATACCCAGGTGATAGCTGTGTACAGGAAGGTTTGGCCCACACTCCCCTTTTTGATGGGTGATCTATATCTTGCATTGAAATTTGTGTCAACCTGATGAACTTGTTAATCAAATGCAACCTCACGTGAGAGTTTCTTTCGGCTTCGTTATTTGCTGTCAACTAATTTCTGCCCCTCCTACATACTTTCCCGACAATGATTTACACTTTTCTCAAGCTCCTTTCCAAGTGCCGATCCGGTGATCCAGCAAAATAACATTTCTTTTGCAATAATTGCCACACTTCTGTTTCTCCTGGAATCTAAAGCTGTCCATTGTGCACCAAGTGACTTATCAAGTGCGGCAGAGTTTTACACATAGAGTTAGCTCGAACGCTGCGCTCATTCTTAGAGGATAAAAGGATGTATGAATACTTCTCACCACCAAAACCATGGCATTTCTGATCTGTATAGTGATCTAACAGCTAGATGGGGATGAATAAAAGAAGGTGAGGTCTGGAAGCTGCAAATATGACTTTTCTTTATTCTGCTACACGGATGCTGTTAAGGTAATCAAAAGCTCTACATTTTCCTTGTGGCCCTTGCACTGTGTGATCCTTGAACTGCCCGCACGACTACGCAAGAAATTTCAGTTCACTTGATGCACCATAGTTTTAAACTTTCAACATGCACCATTTAACACATCTCAGTCTTTCTCTAAGACGTTGGGGCACCATCTGCGCACCATCTGTATTTCTTTTCGAAGATAGAAATGGTGAACTAATTAGAGCTATCCAAAGTACTAGGGCAATCGACAAGAAACTCCCTTCTCTTGTCGGGATCGGAAATGCTCTTAACTCAATTAAGGGACGCATGGATAAGAGCTCTGCTGCATTTTCTGTCTTGAACAGAATTCGGAATGTTAATTTTCTAAAACAGACGATAGACGGATCTGTAAAACTCCATGCACGCCAATGTAAAGCGAACAGAAAGATAGCAAGTTCCTTATCGACCCAGCCTATATTGGACAATGCACTGATCTACAAGAGGGCGAATGATTGGTTGTGTCACTTTCACATCTAGTGTTTATTAAAGCCAGAAACTTGGAAATAACTGAACAGTCAGATTTACTACTGAAAATGGTATCTGCTATGCATCCGTTGTGTGCTTCCTAACGAACAATATCGAGGTATATGCTGTCCTCCACGGTTTTTTATCGCTGATTCTGCGACAAAATAGTACACGAGAACATGACCTACTTTCTTTTCAAATGTGTTCCTGTGTATTCCGCCGACAATCAGTTTCTCAATGTCTCCCCTATCCTAAAGAGAAGTACGCACATTTATTTTGCTTCTTGACTACATTGTGTCCACACCAAATTTGTTTGAGATGAATTTGTAAAGGCCAGTAGATGGCTCCTTTTCTAGTTGTTAATGTACATGCCCCTTGGACATTATGAGCGGCAACACGTCATCAGAACCTTTGCAATGTTGTCCTGAGCTGGCCGCAATATGACATAGGCTTATTGCAGAGAAGGCCCCTTGTAATTGAACTTTTGGTTGCACGCCAAGAGATCCTTATGTGGCCGAAATCAATTCTTAGTCCTCTCCGCTGGGGTGTGCCAAATGCCCTTCGTTGGTATGTATCATTATGTATCATTACCTTGTTTACTACAATAACTCTAGCAATGTTTCACTTGATCAGAATCACTTTTCAAAAAGGTGTTGCACAAATGAACTTGGTACGTACGCATGTTGTGCATTGATGATGAACTGAGATGGTCTTAGACATCAATTTGGCTCCCAGTTTAAAGCAAAACGAAACAGCAAAATATCATATATGTGGTCAGTCTAAATTAGTGTTGGGGCGAATCACCGGAGGTTCGGATTCGGACTTATTCGGGAGTTTCCAAACTCTCCAGGACGAAGATTCGGAGTTTCGGAAAATTTGTCGCGCGTCCGCTATACTCAGCAGCTACATTGCATATTATTCGCGAAAAATTAATCAAATTTAGTTACCTTACGGCTCTACTGAAAGTATGACTGCCATAAGGAAACTAATTCATTTAGATAATTAACAATGAAATATTCAAAGATTTTCTTATATACTTGTGTCGATATCATTGTTCTGAAAGTGATAAGTTACATTGCATACTGAGTTGGGCAAGAGCTTTTTGAAATGTTAACTGAGGAGATAAAAATAGTGTTTGTTTTCCTCAAAACAGCTAGCCTTTTTGTAAAACATTTCAAAACAAACTATAGAAATTATTTCGTCCCTTATGTAGCACCGAGTACACAATGTAAAAGCAGCACTTTCCTAGCAATAATATAAGGAAATGCAAACATGGGGGGACTATTTACTTGTTTAATATCTAAGTTATCTCACTTATGTCTTGAACTGAAATGCCAAACAAAAAAGGTAAGACTGTAAAATACTTAAAGGGGCCCTCCAACAGTATTTGAGCGTCGACTTTCTTTTGCGGTTTCTACACGCTAGTGGTCCCGGAAACCCAGTGGACAACAAAAGAGTTTGAAAATATTAGCGCATCATATTTTATTTTGACAACTCGGAAACACCTCCTCCGACGGTGGCGCCGCGAGGTGCCGATTGCGCGCGCAAAACGGCGCTCCCTTTCACTATACGTCACATTTTCTGGGTTTCGTGATTGGCGAGAGCCGTCCCAGGAATTTTGAAGCGAAATACAGTATATCACACGTTAACCGTCATTATTTCTCTAACAAGTCATTTTTATAGAGCTAATAAAGTTGCAAAGTAAAGTTCAAAAAGGGCGAAAACAACGCCTTGTCGCTCATGCGCGCCTCCCAGAGGCGTCCGGGACGTACCATCGCGAGCAGACGACAAGTGATCCATGCAGACAACGCGCACCGTATTTTCACTTGTGCGCCCCCGGTCCCGGTCAACTAAAAGCAGTAAGAGGAGCCAGGGGGATCCTTATTTTCTTTTAGTGCTATGACAGACTTTTCACTGTTCGAGTGAAGTGCGGCGACGGGACCGGTGCCCAACGGGACCGCTCACCAGTTTCTCCCTCCTACTCGCCGAGGTGGCTCCGGTGGCGGAGTTGCGGGAGACGAGTGTTCCGCGGCTGTCGAAGCGGACTGAGGCAGAGACGCGGCGCTTGCGTGGAGTGTCCTCGTACGGCGCGACGCCCCGATCCGCATTAAAAATCCGATAAGCCCGGTAAATTCATTGATGATGGCAACCCGATCCCAAAGCTACGACGGTTGCAGCTGGGCCTAATGGCCGACGAGCCGACCGAGCCGACGCTTTGCTCCAATCGCCCGGGCCTACGCTTTGCTCCCATTGGCCAACCGCTTTGCTGCAATCGCTAAACTGTTTCATTTTACGTCATGAAGCGTAATGTTTTGCTTATTTAAAGTTGTTTTCTGCAATATTTAGTTTTCTAATAACTCACAAAATATTGCGAATTTCTGTAATATTTTTTTTCCTCGGTGTTCCTGCTTTCATGGAGCTCCGTTTCAGCGCGAACTTCAAACCGGTCAAAAAATTGTTGGTGGGCCCCTTTAATGTTTGTAAACTTGGCGAATTCAAATCCCGAAACATGGGTTTCCTGAACAATTCGGACGTAATGTTACATTGGTGACATAAGCTATATTGAAATTCTCGTGAAATTTAGCACAAATAATCCGAAACTTTAGCTCGAGCAATGAGTCATTTACATTTTGCAAACAAATCAATTTTTTAATTGGTTTTTTAACTTATTTATATAAATAATTGAAAACCGGTCCCTAGGTCAAGCTGTATATATGACAGATAACGATGTACACACCTAAAATAAAGCGGTATATGCCAGATTAGGCTCGATATTCGCCAGATAAGGCTATATATACGCCAGATAAGGCTGTAGATAAGGTAGAAAAAGCTGTATATATGCAAGATGAGGCTGTATATATGCCAGATAAGGTTGTATATCGGCCGTATATAATGATATAATGTTGATATGGTCAGATATGTCCCAGATATAATATTTCCATATGGGACATAATGCATATAATGTTTGGAGCTTACCTCGAGCGCACGGACGTAGAGGGCGCTGCGTCGGAGGAGCTCGGGAAAACGTAGATTCACCTCCGTGCACACTTGAGGGGTGTGGTCGCCCAAGTATTCACAGCGGCTAAGCTAGCTACAAAGACTAAAATTAAAGTATACCCCGTGTGGTTTCAGTATCGGTTTGCTCCCGCCTGCCCCTCCAAGCAGGACTGTCATCTTTTTGTCCCGTTCCGCGCCATGCTTATCTCATGTTGTTACTTTTGTATGAAAGTATTTTTAAACGTCTTCCGTTACGGTGTGGTTCTTCATTGTTTCAAAATTGCAAATCTACGATGATCAACACCTCACGTTATCGCAGATGGCAAGATTTAGAAATTACTTATTAACCCGGAATTTTATCTTTCTCAAAACAACGACGGTACAGTTTTGAATGAACGAAGGACGAGTAAGGCCGCTCAAAGGAGTGACCTCAGGGCGCGAGGTCAAGTTTTCACTGCACGGTGCCTTGTCTCGAAACGTACAATACGAGTAATATGTCATGTTGGAGGCATTCAGACGTCAAATACCTTTTTGCCCATGAAACAGTGTGTATTGAGACCAACATTTGCATTTAACATGCGGGGAAAACATCCGGCACTAAAACTGTCACTTTTGACCGCGTCTCACGCTAGGCGCTAGGCTTCCATTGAGCTGAACGAGCAGCACCAAAAGTGCAACGTCACGGCGCTCCTCCTTTTTTTTTTCTTTGTTGCCGTAGCCAAGTCATTCGCGCACAAATAGATCGCAGAATCGTGCCGCAATCTGCGTGCGTAACTGGTCTAGCTGGTAATTAAACAAAAATGCACAAAGAGAATGAGCGCCGCGATGATGCAGATTTGGTGCGTCATGATAGCCTCAATCTTATTGTAGCGCTGAATGCGGTGAAACCTAATGGGGAGTTTTAGGGAGCCGTTTGTGCCCAAAACGATGCGGTGTCATGGGCCCTTTGGTACGAACTGTGCATGCGCTACCTCAGAAGACTCGTATACACGCAGTTCGTACCGGAGGGTCCATCGCATCACACCGGATGGCAAAACATGGTTCCCTCAACTCTCTAATGTGGAACTGAGTATGACAGCGTC